ATTTTGTGATCCAGAAACCAGAGACCTCTTTCTAGCTACGTAGCCTAGCTTCATCCATGTGAGCACCACATGGGCTGCATCAGTGGGCCGCTTGACAACCTCACTTATTATTGTTCTTTTTTGCCTGACGCTTGTCTTTTTATGAACAAATTAAGTTGAATATAGGATTATATATTAAGGCCGTAAATATAAAATAAACATCAAAGAAGTTGAATATATTTTGTAGGCCGTAAATATAAAATAAACATCAAAAATATATTGTTTTAGAGACTTAAATATATTACCGTCTTTCATCTCTGATCTGTCTTTTTCCACTTTTTCTTCTCTAAACTTCCTGCGATTTTATTTTAATAACAGATGGTGAGCATTCTGAATTATTTGCCGTCTTTTTTTTTTTTTTTTTTGGTGTCCACGAGCCACAGCCTCCCTCTGTTCTCCCTCCTTTTCCCTCTCGCCTCCCGTCCTGCTGCTTCTTTGTCCCTCCTTTACCCCCGGCTTCTTGTCTTTCCACGTTTGTCCGTGACAGACAGCAGTGACAGTGACCTGGAACTCTCCATGGTGCGTCACCAGCCCGAGGGCCTTGAGGAGCTCCAGGCTCAGACGCAGTTCACCAGGAAGGAGCTGCAGTCGCTTTACAGAGGCTTCAAAAACGTGAGTCGCTTCACGAGGTGAACTGGTTTAGTCAGGACTGAGATCCAGATTAACAGCTGTAGGTGTAGTTACACAAGATGTATTTACATACATTTGCATATATATTTATATATGTGTGTGTATATATGAATATATAAAAATATATATGTATTTATTCATATCTATACATATATGAAAACCTATATATGTTTGTATATATTTATGTGTATATATGAATATATATAATTATATATTTACATATGTGTATATATTAATATATAAATACACATGTATTTACATTTATACATATATGGATATATATATTTATGTATGTGTTTATATATTTTTTATATATTTACATATGTGTCTATATTAATATATAAATATACATGTATTTACATTTATACATAATGAATATATATTGTTATATATTTTTATGTACATGTTTATATATATTTATATATGCCCTTTGTACTTTTGTTGATGTGTTCATCCGTATTAAGACTGATTTGGATGTGGAGCAAATGTATTAACGCAGCTGTGGAGCAGATCTAGTAACTTAGCTAACCGCTAATTAGCCTTTTGTCAATTTACTAATATAGAGTTAGACCGTGTTCATTTATACTATATGTAAATCTGACTCTGATGGAAACAGCGCCTCACCTGTTCTGAACTATCACTGCACTACATGCAGCCACAGCTGGGTGCAGTGGGCAGCAGGAGGGTTCGAGTCTCGCCCAGTTAGACGTTAGCTCGCTGAGATTGAACTGTTGGGCTCCAAGATAAACTGTGTTACCTCCTGATCCCTAAACTGCAGCCGTGCACTTTCGTTACAAAGTAACAG